AAAATTAAATTAGAGCTTTTTTTTTTTAAACAGTAGATATACAATTAGAGTAGATAATGAAAGATCCACAACCTTTTTATCTTACCCTTTTGATGAAAAGTTATAGCTTAGTACAAACTAAAGCTAAGCTTCCATTTAACTTGCTCAAATGCTTAGTTTGGAAATTTTTATTCCTGGACTAAGCATAACGCAAGGATATTTTTAAATTTATTTTTTTTTCAACATCTGAGTTTTTTTCAGATGTTTGCAGAACAGATGCATAAATTCAGAGATCAAGATTGAAGTGTAATGCTTCATGTATGAGGGCACAAATCAAGACAGCTTGTTCATTTGAAAGCCCACAAGCTCAACTTAAAATACAGTCATCAATCTAAAGCATCTTGTTTCATTTCACATGAACATCCACTTCACCCTCAAGATGCACATAAACTTGTGCAGGCAGAAGAAATGTTACAGTATCTCGGAGCAGATGAAATTCAAAACAACAAAAAAAGTAAACTTTCCCAAGTGTTACAAACTAATTTTACAAGCAAAGGAAGTTAATTCAGTATTAAGATGACAAGTGCAAATGCACACAAGATATGCAAACAGCCTAAAAACTCTCACTGTTAACAAATTGGTTATCACCACCATTACAATTCAGAACACTTAGAGTGGATCCTTGTATTTAAATAACTATATGCCCTTTAAAATTCCAATGAAATCCTGCGCCTTTCCACCTTCTGAACAAAAATGCTGCAGAGTTAACTTAAAAAAGGCATACACCACATGGGAGACTGAATTATTCCAATTAAAGCAATTTTTCTCTATTTACATTGTGGCAAACAGGCTGAGACAGACCAAAACAAGCTGAACTCAGCCAGGATATTTCCTCTGTTTAGAGAAGGAAGTAAGTGAAGCCAGGAACTTTTTCTGTAGATTATAAAAATAGCACCCAACACCAGGCTTCCCTCATGGGCATCCAAAGGAAGCAGCAGACACGATACATGACAGCAGAGTCTTCCCAGGAAGTGTAGGGGAGCTGGAAGAGACACTTACTTAGATAGGAGTTAGAAATTCATTGCCCCTTGAATGTCTGACTAAGAACAGACTTTTAGAAGAAGATACTTGAAGACCCACCCATTTGTACTCTGCTTGCAGCATGGCAACGTTTCTTGTGAAATACATATAGAGATATCCAACTGGTGTTTGAATTCTTTGTCAGATTTCCACTTGTAGGGAAGGCAAGGTCAGAAAAGAACAGGTAACAAGCATTATGCATCCCCTCATATTAATAAACAGCAAGTTTTATTAATAATATTTGGCTTAGAGATACTTGGACACTGAATGTATCTTTAATAAGAATCCTTCAGGACTATTGTAGGAAGATAAATACTGTCAAAAGCCTGGACTGGATACAAATTTAACTTCGTGAACTGAAAGGTCCATATTCATCATATTGAAATGCACTTTATTAAAATATATAAAGTAGAACAGACAGTATAGAACAGATGCTTTGAAGAAAACACATCAGCTGTACACTAATATTGTTATTTGATATGAGGCCAAACTCATTTATTTAAAATTCCTATGATCCATAGAGAAATTCTTTCCTCTCCCATGCTAAACTATGGTAGACACATCAGGCTGAAAATAAGAGTATATAAGGGATGTGAACAGGTTGCTTTCATGGAAACTTTCAAACAGACTGAGCAAGATCAAATGGTCAATTCTCATGCCAAAAATTTCTTATCTAAGTTACCGTACTCTAATGCAAACAAAACCAAACAAAATTTGAATCAGATTTCTTTGCAACTGAAGGGAAATGAACTGCTCACAGTCTCTCTGAATTTATCAGTAAATTGCATGGATCTTCACCTGGCAAAAAAATAAGACACTGAAAAACTGGTGTGTATTTCCTTAAAAAAATGGCTGGAAAAATTAGTTCACATGGCTTTGAAAAAACCAAAATCCATTCCTAAAGGATGATTTGTATTTGAATGTCTAGAATTATTCACCTAAAATTCAGTGCTGCAGAAAATCCAAAGACTGTCCACACAGGATTTTCACTGCGCTAGAATCAGCTCATGTATTTAAAATGCATTTCTGGTGAAAGAGCCACCAATAATTTTGGAAAAAAAATTTAAAAAAAAAATCAATGTAGCTGCTACTTACAGAATTCAAAACACTTTTGCTTCAACTCAGTTCCAGCTAGGAAAGATGCACTGATAGCTGTACATCAAAACAGTTGTTTGTCTAAAACTTTTTTTAAGGAATAGATTTCAAGTGTGTAAATTTTCTATGATACAGAAAGCACTTTAAAATAGAATTCTGACTAAACAGTGACAAATATTTAAGAAGCTTCCTCCTAAATATTAAGTTATTTGCACTTGACCAAGAGTTCAATACTATCTTTTGTTTGGTGCCACAATTGTCTGGGATGAAACTGTCAGAGTATCCAAAAAGAAGAAAACAGAGCAAGAGGATGTATAGAAGCAAGTATTTGGTAAATTAAGCCTAGAATAGCAAAATACATGAAGCAGGGAAATTTGTTTAGTTGTGAATATCAAGTTTTTCCCAAACCAAATCCCTCAAAATAAAGTAGTGCCCATATTTTTCTTAAGCCAGCAACTTGAGCATTCAACTGACAGGAATTATTTCTTGTCAAAGTCAAATACGAAAAAACCTATCTCAAAGATGCTGATGTTACAAAGTTAAAAGACTCAAAGGTTAGCAAAGCTCATACAACTTTAATTTGTGCCACTTGTGTTGGTAGGACAAGCCTTTCAGCAATAACTTTTCTATATGAATTCTCAGGCCTCTTCCAATTGGAAAAAAGTAGTCAAAATGGAAAACACTTGGCATTTCTTGCCTCCTCCCGGTATCGCTACAAGTGTGTGATAACATCCTATCTTACTGCACACTATCAAAACCCTACACTGAAAACAGAATTGACTTTTTCTTGAGAAGCCTTTCCCAGTTTTAAACATTCTGCTGGACCTCTGGTTCACCAACCCATCGGTGTGTAGTTATAGTGCACCTAAGCCTATTCAACAGTGGGTACCTGCTTCTGAAAGGACCAATCTCCCTCCTTCCCCTCCCACCATCTACCTTCTAAACATCTAACTGCAGAGAAAATTGCCCAGACCACTAAACCAGCAGAAAACATCTTGAACTGGCTCAGCATGGGTCACAGGAACACAAATGCTGACACAAAGGAGGCAGTATCGGGAACAAACAGAAAAAAAGAGGTTGCACTGACTCCTCCATTAGCAAGTTAGCAAACAGACGTTACAACTTCATTGTATTGAAAAATCAGACCAAAAAATGTATTTCTACATTTATTTGAGATATTAAGCACCATTCCTTTTCTTTCTGGAGGAAAAGAACTCGTGCATAAGGAAGCTGAAGTCTAGAAGTTTCACATGTCCATTAACTATACAGCACTCCATAGCTGATTTTACAACGTTATATACTATTTTTACAGTACTTTATATGCACATAAAATTCCTTTTAATTTCAGCTGCACATACTAAACTCTCAGCAGTCAGCAACTTGGTCGCAACATGACTAATACCATCAGCAATGAAACTCTTCTATTTGTAGATTTGCTAACAATCCTGGAACAGTATAAGAACTGTCACAGCTCTCCAAATGTGATCACCTCCTTTTCTCACAATCCTATCTCATTTTCGAAGCTTTCAAAGTCTGCAGCAGTGATGAACCCATTTTATACTAAACCTGATTCAATCCAAGAGCAATGCTCATGCTATTAGAATAAGAGAGGCAAGAGGTAAAGCAGGAAACACTAACAAAGCCTGCAAGAATATGAATACTGCAGTGGAAGCAAACTAAGGTCGCACATGCAATCAATTCCTGAATGTCTGACTCTAACAGCAGCTTTCTTTTGACTGGAAACTTCTGTGAATTTTCCTAAGATATTTTTGTAACAAAGCAGCAGAAACACGTTGATCCTTTGAAGGATCATCAGAAGGAACACATTCTTTGGACTCACAACACTGACCTTTGCCACTTCGACTGATCAATGGCAGTTGGAATAACAGGCAATAATCCATAAATCAGTCTACAGAAGGAAACAAATAGCTATAAAACCTGTTAGCAAGAAACAAATGCATGGAAGCAGCAATTTTTGGGCTCAAGCCAAATGTCACAGAGTTTGGGCCTGAAACATTTATCTCCTATGCTCCTCTGCAATATCCACTTGGCTTATCCCTCTCTTACCCCACTTACTATTTATTACACATCTGCATTTAAGTGAGATTGCTTCTTGTCTCCAAAATATAAGTGGCTTTCCTTTTGAGCTTCCAGAAAATTGGCAGCAAAAATTAAGATTCACATCTGCTACTCTGCAGTCTCAAACAATATTTTAAATAATAAGCAAGAAGTGTGTACTGAACCTACTGTGGTTGCAAGGTTAGTAGAGTGCAAAGGGCTTAAGAAGAGAGAAAACAAAATATAGCAAAGAAGTCTGTATTCAAAACAAACCTTTGCCACTTAAGCTCCAGAACTTTGATTGCCAGAATCTGTAAATGAAGGACTCAAGACACAACATAAACATCTGTGTTGGACAGTAAGACACAAAACATGTTCAAATAATATGTGGTATTGCTATTTTAAGCTATAACATATCTGACTTCTACACTGCTGTTCTAAAAAGAGAAAGCTATCCTTGTAGTTTGGAACAGGCTGTTCAGTATTTTGTACAGCCAATACACCCGCTTCACATTTTTTTTAATATTGTCTTCCAGCAGATAGAATGTGTTGCTACAAAAATTGAAACAAAAGATATAACTTTTAGAAGTTAAAAACTAGTATAGAATTACCCAGTTTAGTATGTATTCTAAAATTCCTGTTGCATGGTTCCAATAAAAATCATGTTAACATGGCTATGAATGTCATCTCCATGGATCAAAGTATTTTTCTCAAAATATTTTCAAATAGGGGAAAAACACTTGGATGTTGGGACAATGAAACAAAAAATAACTTTGAGAAACAGAGTATATGCTTGCTAAACAAGAATTATGTTTATTTAGCTAGTGAATCACCTAGAGGAGTAAATTTTCACTTTCATGATAGCAATCTGTCAGGCTTGCAAACACCCAGAAATAGGAATTAAAGATTATTTTAAATGTAGTTATAAAGGTCATAAAAAGTCTGATTTAGACTGAGGTACATTTACTCAAAACTGAGATTCATTGAGTGGTAGCAAACAAACAGTTCCTCAGACAAATGCACTTTTTTCAGTATACATGTTACAGAAAAAAAAAAAGAAATGTGCATTAACTGGTGGTGTCCACCAAGCTGCATATCAATATTCTCTTACACCAAACAGTTTGAAACAAGGGAAATGTCATTCTAATATAATTTTATGTTACGTTTCATTTGGCTAAACTGCAGCTTAAAGTTGCTTTGCCATATTAAAAGATTACTACAATAATTTTCACATGAACATTTAGACTTGAGTTTTACTCCAGGACTAAATATGGCATGATTCGCTTGTAATCTGTCGAATAGCTAAAAACTGACAATTAAAAAAACTACAACAAAGAAAAAATTAAGTTGAAGCAATGTGAATCTCACATCATTGAACCACTTCTAATGGTTAAATGTTAGTATTTAACAAATTCAAAGAGTTAATGAATCCTTGCATTCGTTCGGTCTCCTGTGCCTTAGCTAGGATGCATAAATACAAAAGACAGCAGATACTGGTAAAAGCTTCAGGACAGAAAGTGCTTGACGAAGGTACAGTTCTCAAGTGTGTTTGGTGAGAGAGTATAAGGGCAGATGCACTGATGAGAACCATTACAAGAAGAGTCAATTTTGTGTTAAAGTGTTCAAAGATGTCACCTTAAGCAGAAAAAAGCTTTTATAACGTCTTCTTAGACATATTAGGCATTTCCAGAGTCTACATCATTAGTGTTGTAATTCTAGCAGGACATCTCCGTATAGTTATTGTTTGTTTCTATTTCTCTCCTGAAAAAAAGAGACAAAAACAAAAAGGAAAATCACGTTAATACACACAGTTCAACATGCTTTCCTCTCAGTAGAGCAGTTGCATTGCTTGCAATTTCTCTAAATCAGGCAACAGCTTTCAAGGAAAAAGCTGTTCGTTTGTTTGCTTTTCTAGAAACATGAAATATCTAGTTCAAGTCAACTTCTTAAAAAGAAACACAGAAGTATACATCAAACTAAAAGGCAAATATGTTCCAAAAAAACAACTGTCAAAAAGAAAGGGTTTTACAGTGTTACTTTTAAATCACTTCCGATAAAATATGCTGCACAAGGTGCACTGAGTAAGGAGACCTAAGGATCTACAAACAAGGCAAGAGGTACCCTAAATCTTCTACTTAACTTGTTAAAAAATGTTCTACATGAATATTTAAAAGTATTCTACTTTTCAGCCATTATAGCCCTGAAAAAGTAAAGATCATATTCCCAGGTATCTCATTCAAAGGTCACTATAATGAGGAACAAGTTGGCCCAGTACTTCCTCCTCCATACAAACACGCTGCTCAACTGGCAAGAAATTTCTAAAAAAATGCCATCCACATTTTTTTTAGAAATTACTTTTAATAACAAAATGCAAAAGGAGTGAGGTAGGAATGGCAGGACTACTCAAGCCTGAGCTGCAGTCAAGACCATATTCACTAAAAAGCCCTTGCATCATAGTGAGATGGTGCATTTGGTGTAAAGGAACAAAGTGTGTAATGTCATCTGCATAAAACAATGATAAATCACTTTGTATAGTTAAGGACTAAAATACTAATTGCACTGTATCTGTATCAGGGACTAACAAATTCTTCCTCTGTATAAAAAGTCTAACAGAGTAAATAACATTTTCAGTGCCTTATCATCACCCTCCATTTTTTCTACTTTGTTAAAGAAAAGCATACACTCTGGCATTATGACTACCTCTAGGAAAAAATAAAAACAGAACAATAAACTGTATCTCACTGCCCTCATTACATATCTTCTAGACTGTAAAAAGACACTGTAGTTTCACTCTAAAAAACTAAGACTTTATCGTCCAAAAGCATTTCCTTTCTTAATACGCACAACTTGGCACATTATATAAATGTTTTAAAATACCTTCATAGAAGAGAGGTAGGTTCCCTTCCTCATTTAAAAGAGAACACAAAACCTCATTTTCAGTGTTTTTATTATTATTGCATTGCAAGCATGTTATAAGTGGAACATAAACATAGCAGGGAAAACCAAAATAAACCAGCAGGCATTTGAACAATGATTTCAAAACCACTCTGATACCATGCTGAAACTTTAGGATACTAGAAACTAATTAGGAAAAGTGCAAGTTAGCAGATGAACCCAATTCTGCCAAAGGGACAATGAAAGAAGAGAATCCATAACATTTATACTAGTTATTAGAGTGCAGTTTTGTCCACGACAGACCTCCAAGTTGCTTCAAGATGAACACCAAAGCAGTAAAGCCCATACAGACCTCTTGGTCATGATTCCCAGCAGCTCTAAGCTAAGATCGCACATTCTCTAGGGCAGAACTTCAGTATGTTTATAGTGAGAAATACTTGCACTATTCTGCTAGAAATAATTTTTTCTTAGTTCAAAGAGACACAGCTAATATTTGCACAGTAAGGCACTGGTTTTAAAGTGTGAGGTTGATAGAATCAGCCATTAATACAAGCTGATATGTTAACAGTGCATGTCTAGGCTGAAAACAGATGATCGCTGTCTTCATGCCTCACTATGCATGTAAGGCATTCAAAAATAGCCTGTTCATGCACATCTCGGATTATTCCTCTATTAGCAGACTTCAACTAAAAGGACTGCAACGTGCTGAAAAACACTACTGTGGTAGGAACAGGTTGCCCAGAGAGGTGACGGAGGCCTCATTCCTGGAGACATTCAAAGTCAGGCTTGATGGGGCTCTGAGCAACCTGATCTGATAACAGTGTCCTTGCTTACAGCATGGGGGTTGGACCAGATGATCTTCAAAGGTCCCTTCCAACCCAATACACTCTATGATTCTATTAAATAGTAGCCAATGAAGCTAAATTAAACAATGAAATATTTTAACAATGTGAAATACTACCTACAAATAAAATAACCTGTTCTTGCCCATTTGTGAGTATTACATATGTAAGCACTGAGTCAAGCCGTCTAGAAAGCCTCTCACTGCATTGCAAACTGCTGCACAGTAAATTAACCTACCTTGTGCTTTGTGTAGCTCATAAACTCAAAATGCATTTAAGTTCATAAGAACTCAAAGAAGAAAAGGAATTATATCCTGACCACCTACTTCCAGTGGATGAAATAAAGGAAGTGTTAGAAATTTCAAGTCCATTTTGAATTCTACAGAGGCTTCAAACCACCACCAGTACATCTTTCCTGTAGTCTCAAAGTTGTATAATACTACATTTATTTTTAAACACTTAAAGCAAACATACAAACCTGACAATTTTCAATGCAAGTGAACAGTACTTTCTTCAGATATTAGTAGTATGTGGCGCTCTGTACAGCAAAACGGCCTGATAGAAAACCCGATCTATTCAAAATGCAGGTAGTGGTATTATACTCAAAAGCAAACTAAACACCCCACAGCTCTAAGTCAGTGCACACTCACTAGCACTGCCCTTTCCTGTCTCAAAAAGTATTCATTTTCTGTTTTTAGGGGGTGGTTTTTGTTTAATTGTTTTTGTATAAACAACAGTGATTATAGCCAAACTAGCAGAATGCTTAATCCCCAGCAGGTTTCCACTGACAGAGTAGAGGAAGTTTCCAGTGTACTGACTGGATTCCACTGCATTTCCCTTTCACCACACATCTCTAATTTCTTACATTCAGATGAGCAAAACCTTTGCCACAATTCCTTGCAATGTTCCTGGATAAAAAGCTGCTTATTTCAAAACTCACCATGGTGAGATTTTCTGGCTTTTGGGGGAGTTTATGAGCAGGACAGGGAAATTAAGTATCATTCAAATTAGAACAACGTGGGGATTATCAGCTACCTAAAGGTACCTGCCAGCTACAGACCACACAGTGAGCACATTTCATACATGCAAATGACACACCAAGTGAAGATGAACCTAAAAATGCTTGGGCCTCAGAAATATGCATCAATTTAGTGCCAGTAAAAATACGGAATTAACCTGAACTGCAAGGCCGACTTTCAAATTTCAGTCCTCTGAATTCAGAGCATTAATCGAATGATCCCACGCTGAAAAGTGGCTGCAATGTACTTCATCCTTGGTTTTAATGAAAACTCTATGCTAACAAAATTTCAAAATTCAAAGCAACACAAAATGTTTCCTGATTCGACTTGAAAAAAAAAAATACTGAGATGCACACAAGACTGACTCCTGAAATTTTCTATCAAAAAGGGAAATGAAAAAGCCTCACTTTTAGTAGTAAAAATGTAAAGGGTAGCCTAACAATAAGCAGCTATTACAGTCCTCAGCTGTATTCCTCCCCCCCCCAAGATCCCACAAACTGAAGCTCAAGGTGAGGGAAGGTAAACCTGAAAGCAGGACTTCTGCTTTTTATAGCAGTTGCAAGTGCAAGCATTTCAAGGTGTCCATTTTGAAAGCTATCCAAGATTGCAAATGTGCACAGGCAAATTGCAGATAGTTCCCACACTTGTTCACCTCCAGCACAATCAGCTATACTTGCAAAAATAAACCCTAGAATTCTGCCAAACTTTTGCATCAGTTACTGCAATGCTGACAATGTTCACACCTGAAGCTGTCTGCTTCGCCCCCTCAAGAGGCAGCATTCTCACAGCATCTGCAGAGGGGAACACGCAGCACATCTCAGCTGCTTCACTGCAAACTGCGATTTAATCTTCAGCTTAAAAGCCGTGTTCATCTGCAATGTAAGCTAACATGTCAGACTGCAGTCTGCAAAGTGAGGCATGGGCACTCATCTCCTCTGCCAACTCCACTGCGTGGGCAGAAACACCTGGCAGAGGCAGAGCCAACAGCTATAGAGGTGGTGAGGAGAAGACACAGCAAAGCCCACGAAATCTCATTTACTAAATGGCATCAGCCACAATCGGCAGTTTATTGCACCCCAGTGTACCATTACAGCATAAGCATTGACCTTAGCGCTTGAGAACCACAATGAAAAACAGATTACTGAGAAAACTGAGAAATGCTAGAAATAGTTTGCTCCATTTATGACACGGATCTCATTGGCCGCTAACAAACTACATTACTAAAACTTTAACATTGTGTAAAATAAAGGTCCTTTTTAACTTGTCGCTCTTGAATTCCAAACTAGAGAGGGTAAATCTCCTGAAGACATAGATTACCTCAAAACCAGATAAAATATTTTAATATCTTTTTCTGAGAAGCACTTCTAGGAATTCTGGGAAGATGGGAAGGAAGGATCAGATAAGAAGGATCTCCAGAAGCCTTACATGGACTTAGAAATATTTCCTGTGCAGATGCCATCCCCTCCCTAAAGGCTCATTTTCTTCTATTCTCTATCCCAAAATGAAAACTGCAAGGCGCAAATTAAAAAGAAAAAAAATCAAAGTCAGTGAAGGTTTTACAGCTCTAGAGCAGTTCCTTCTCCCAGCAAGCCTTATGAATTAACACTTATCTGAGACCCTGCTGCTGCAGATCATTTGAACACTAGACAGTAAATAAGGCTTTCAAACATATAAATATTAAGAAAGTCTGAAAAGCCACAAGACCTAAACTTCTAATTTATTTATTCTTCCTATTAGTTTTGATGGCATTTTACTTATTTCAGTCTCTGAAACATATTTAGCAATAGTAAAAATGTGAATGAATTTCAGTAAAAAGGTAAGTCAGTTTAAATTTGAGCAGACGCATGCATTGTCACGGAACATGGACAGACCTTATTATTCTATTATGGTAACGATAAAAGCAGTAAGAACTTAATCCACATCTGAAACTCCACAGCACACAAAATAACAGGGTACAAACATTCAGAAGGCAGAGGTGGGGAAAGAAACCTAACTTCATTTAAAA